CGGCGTAGCCTTACACTCATCATGATCAACCGCCAAGTAAAGATCGCGACCAGGGAGGGCGCAAGCCGTAAGTTCGAAGACTTGAGGATCTCAGAGGGCGCTGACAATGCACTGGAAAATCTCTAAGCTCATCTGCGGCTCTTTGAAATGTCATCCAGTAACCCCAACCCAAATCGGAGAATTAGGTGGTTTTTTGAGTTAGGCTCGAGCCGACGCAGATGCCAAGTCCTAAGTCAAAGCATAAATGCTTTCCGTCTGGGCCGATGACAGCTGGGCCAACGGGGAGCCGAAGCTTGTTTTCAGAAGACCACATTGAAGTTTGATTCATATGTGGGTGGATGGAGCAGACTCGAAACACACAACTGACGCCCCTCATCCCTGTCACTGTTTAGTGAAGCATACCACTTCAATGCGACTCACTGAAAGACAACATGTAAGTGTATCATCTGCAACTCTGTAGCGTCGCCTCGTGTAGTCATTAATACAGAAAGTCTACCTTGCGTCATTCCGGGTAGAGGGAACTTTCGGTTCCACCCGGGATTGTCGTACAATGCCCATCATACACCATAAGTCATATTACCAAGCCACAGCAAAGCTAGGAAGCCCACAAACTTCAGTCGCAAGGCGCTATTTGACACCAAGAAGCCTTTCGTTCTTCCTCTTTCTGTCGCCTTCTCCTTTGCTGCTGCTGAACGCCACGGGACAGGACTTGTCTTACCGTCCTTAACAGGTAGGGTGCGGCCCAACGAGACTTCTTCAGCCTGCTCTCTCTCCTCTATTCCCGTCAAACCCTTGACAATGCGGAGAGTGGCACTCTGGCATCTGTTGCAGGCCCAAAGGAAGACGGTAGCAATGATTGTTACTTCAGCTGCTCTCGGTAGGCGGCCTCCGCTTCCAATCCTTAAAACCCCTGCTCCGTCACTCGCAAGCCATATGTGATGGTGCAAAACGTAGGCTTCAAGCGACATTCTTCCAAGAGCTGCCGCAGGCGGGATCTGCAGGTCTCGCAACTTCCGGAAAGAGTTTCTCGTAATTATGGCCGACAGCACAAACCAGGGGCTCGTGTACGGATGGTAGGTGTCGTAAGACTGGTTGTTGTGGTATACCTCGGCGATGAACGCAAGGATAACGAAAACAATGAGATACGCAATGGCAAAAATGATCATTATCGGCTTCACCGGAATCGCGTCTTGTTCTGGATATGTGATTTCCAACAACCCACGGTCAAGTGCGTTGTTAACCTTTTCGAAGGAAGCTTCGGCGTTGATGCCATGCTGCCGACGCCTGAGAACCGAGACTCGGTGCGTCGCAGCCGCCGTAAGTATGCCAAAGTAAGGGATGAAGCGGTCCATGGCGAAGTGGGCGCGCAGGAGATTGACGTCCCAGTAAATCCCACAAGCCCGTCTGAGAATTAAGAGAAAACGCTCAGGTGTGCGGGTGCTTTGTACCAAGTACGAAGTCCAAGCAGCAAATACGACAACTTTTATGAAGAATGCAACAGGGTTGCTGTTGGACTTCTTAAAGCAAGCCAGCGTTGCATAGATGACTGCAAACCAAAACGTCAATAGTGGCGCAGTGTAGATGATCCATTCGCTTGATACCATGAACGCGATCACGCAGGTCAGCAGGTTCAGCCGGCCTAACACATACGCAATCCTGCGTAACGAAAAGTCTTCGGTGCGGAGGAAGTACATCGTGTGACCGTAGCTGAACAAAAAGATGAATGTCGCCATGAGGAACTTGTGTACCTTATACATCGCTAAGGACTCGGACGCCGTGTGGTACTTGTACAGTAGAACGAATACCAGCATCCAGCCTCTCCACTCGTCTGTTTGCTCCCGTGAAAGAAATGACGTTGTGGTGAGCCCTTTCGCCGACGACAAAACAGGTGTTTTGAAACGAATTGACAGCGCTGCGAACATAGCTAGGCCAATCAATGGTGAGATAAAGTCGGGTACGTCAAAGTATTTGTCCTGCTTCGCGAAGATGTGAGTCCGGTCAGCGATAAGGCAGTAGACCGCAACGATCAGTATGGTAGCCAACGCCAAAAGAGTGTCCATGAAGCGGGACGTTCGGGCAAAGGGGAAAGCATCCTGCTGCCGACTCAAAAACAGGATTGGCGTTGTCAACACATTGAGGCCAAGTAGCAAAAGCTGAATCCGACGAAGAGGGGAGTACGGCACACAGCAGGTGACCTGGTTGGCGTATCCTCGTCTAGCCAGACCGGCATTGCAGTGGGCGTTAAGGACGACATCCAGTTTTCTCTCTGCCACGATGTCGACCGAATGTATGCCATCGTCAAGCATAGCGTCGTCGTGTCCCTCGGTCATGCTATTGTACGCCCATGCGATGTGCGATTGCTCGTTGAGCTCCAGGTGCTCCAGGTTCCAATTCATGGCGTCAATCCTCTTAGGAGTGATGGCTCGCGCGCGGGATGTGGTAAGCATATCGTAGGCTGGGACAGGCACGGGTGCCATAAGGACATGGTTAGAAAGCTCTGCAAAGGCTAACTGTGAGTTGCTATGGGGGTACACCATCAATTCGTCGATACTCTTATGCAGGTACGGCATAAGGACGTTGATGCCTTCTCTGAAGAGCTCCAAGTACCGGTCACCGCCCTGACGGGCCGCCCATAGACCTGGAGTGCCGAGAACGATAAGCGCTGGTGACTCTTTTCCTTCTTGTCGAACAAGTTTCTCGTAATCAGCGGATCCGGGACGGTCCCGGAATCGAGCCAATTGGCTGTGGAGACTCGTGGAGTTGAGCCAAGGGTCCCAAATAAACTCCAGTTTGACGCCTTCGACATCCATTGTGAGATTTTGATGTTTGTCTTCCGACACGGCGAAGTCAAGAATGGCTCTCTCGGCGACATGATGGTCAAGTCGTGTCATGGCAGCGAAGTAGAGCTGGCGCATAGTCGAGTCTCCAATGATGACTAGATGACGACCTGAGAAGCAGCCCGAAACATCCTCGCGGGACATCTCGCGCATTCTGCAGTTGTCGGGTTCCCATTTCGAAAAGACGTCTCTCGGCAAGTTCGAGCCGGGGCGCGAACGCCAGGTGCCGTTGGAGAGCAAAGCGTTGCACTTGTAGGGATCATGTTGGCCTGCATCTCGCGTCAGCTTCTTGACTCAGTTTAAGCTTGTCCAGGATCCTAATTTGGTGGGGCAGTTGGAGAATGGAACTGTTTAAATCGTACCGAATACGAAATACTGGTAGACGACTGAGAGAAGCAGTATCAAGAGGGAAACCCGCGGTATGGTCCGGAGAAAGAAGGGCGAGCTCCCGGCAGCGGCAGCTAGCCTTTGAATGCTGCGAATCATTGGGGGCTAGGAGGGACAAAAAGGAACCAGCGGATAAGGTACGGCGCGCAATCTCAATGCTCCGACTGGTGGTGGCGGTTGCAGTTGGCGGGAAACCGCATTTCTCTTCCGCCTAGTGGAATGCTCTCCGGACCGTTCGGCGACGTGTTGAAGAACGTTACAGAAGAAGACTTGTGATGTCACAAAACCGAGAGAGAGCACAAGTGGAGGAGAGACGCGAGTTGAGGTAGAAGGGGAGGTTCGGAGAGAAACAGTCAAGCGGCGAAGGATCCAAGAAAGGAATCAGATTGATTGTCAACCCCGTCAGACGCGCATGCGAGCGCGGCTGTCATTTCCCTTATAATGCCAGCAACGGTCGAGGCCAAGAACTGGACGGATGACAGGGCTGGCGCTGCCAAGGTGCCGCTACGGAAAGAGACCCGTCCATGGTCTTGGGATGTCATTCCTCAGCCTGTGACCTGTCAGCCTGGAGGGAAGGGAGTGGAGGGAATCCGCGGAAAGGGGAAGGCAGTCACACGTACGCCGCATCTACGCAGACTCCAGAGCGGGAGAGCACACTGCATTGGCACATTAGGCCCTGGGGAAATCGATAAAAGGATGGATGGGGGGGGTCGCACTTGGTGGGAATCACCGTCAGCAAGCGAGTTGTTGGTGACTGCTCAGATGGGATGGACGGGCAGCCGCGAGATAACAGGCCAGGCCCCCCTTCCGTGATCCCTGCTGGATGTTGACGACGCACCTTCTTTTGGCAAGCCAACACGCGACATTGTGGGGGAGACTCCGACAGAGAAGCACGAACCCGAGCACCGTCTTTCTGCCTGCTTCATTGGCACCGTGTGGGCTGCTCATAATCCCGCTATTGCCGCCAATGGTGAACATCGATCAATCGCCCAAACTGGTGGTCTTTTGGGACTCTGGGAGTTTTGTGGACCAGGGAACACAGTGTGGTCCACTTGTACTAGCCAGTGCAGCCACGCTGACAGCCAAGAAGGCGCACCGCCTATATTTTCTCTCGGCTCGAAATTTTTCTTCTCTTCATTCGCCCATCTTCCCGTCGGACGCCGTTTACAGTCTGCCAAACAGATGCCGTTGCAAACGGCATCGACACGACTCTCGATGTTGAGGAAGTTGAACACTTGAGCACTGCCAGTCTCCCCATGATGTTTATAGTGCATTCGGATTATATCGGGCTGCTGCAAGAACAGAGGTAGGTTAGCGTAAGGAAGCTTCCTCGCATACATGCAAACTTGATGCCGTCTTTTGCCATAGCTCGATCAGTTCAGCCTTCTCGTCTTCTGATCTTGAGCCGGATACACCACGCCTCGTGCGCGGTAGTATGAGACAAGATTGAACTCCAGGCAATGTTCTTTGAGTACGTAACCTTCTGATTCCATGTGAAGGCTTGCGTAATTTATCTGTTGTCACACCTCTCAGTCTCGACACTCTTTTTAATGTAGAGATCCTTTCCATTTTGTGCGCGTATCTACCCCTCTAACTAAGAGGAAAGAAGGAAACTTTTGTAAAAGCAATTTCAAAAGCAAAACATCTGATTCCCTTCGTCCCCGTTGCATAGTCTCAAGAAAGCTGCCAGCCTGATGGCCGGCTGCTTCTCTTGAGTCTTGACTCCCCACTCACATCCCGTAAAATCCCAATACATGCGAGACCCATCCACAATCCTCACTGAATGTACGATGCCCAGGTGCCAAGAGGGCGGGGGGTGGGCTGCTTTGCCTGCTTGACATTCGCCTCCAGAGCCGACAACAGACCCTGACGGTCGAACTCGGTCAGCTGAAGCTTTTGCGCAGTCTGGATATGCTGAACGTCAACATTCGAGACGCCTCGGATAGCAAGGAGCTCGTCAGCGCCAAGGCTGTCCGTGATACGCTTGGTCTTGTAGTTCAAGAGGAAGTGATTACTCATCATCTCCTCACGCTTGTTGAAGATGGCAGTCGTGGCCTTGGAAATTTTGATTGTCACCTCCTTGAGGTTGGGGCACTTGGCCAGCTTGAGGAACGCCGAGTCAGATTGAGGACTGCACCAGTGGATCTCAACCTTGCGCAAGTGGTCAAACAGGTTGCTGTTGGCGTTCAGCTGGCCAAGAAGCTCGCAGCAGCAGGCAAAGTACTGAGTCTGTTCGCCGTAGTAAACCTGATAGAACTCGTCTCTCAGGGCTGCTCCCAGAGTCTTGTACATGTTGAACTGTTGTTTCGCCATGTGTCCCCGCAACTTTACCTCAGGGTTGGCACAGTTGCAGCGGTACTTGTCTTGGATGCGCTTGAGAGCAGGCATTCTGCAGGCCTTGGAGCTGGTTTCAACGACCATGTGAAGCACCCGTGCTCGGATCTCACGGGGCAGCTTCATGAACGGGAAGACGGTGGGAGAAGGGCGATCTGTAAGACAGGAGTTAGCTATATTATCGACTTTTCCATGCTGATATCCTAGAAAACAATCTCGGAAAGAACGTAAAGGTCGTTGAGTTTACAAAGCACTTACTGGCAATTTCCAAGACTTCGGTGCACATGTGAATGAGCAAGGCGCATTCTCTTGTCTCGTCTTGCTTGTTCTTGTTCTGCTTTGTCATTCTCTCTGTACACTTTCGGATAGTGTCGATCATGGCCTGACGTCTCTTGGAGCTCAGACGAAGCATCCGGCCGAGCTCAGCCATGTCAATTGTGCCTGTCTTGGTGTCTTCCAGAGCTTGCAGCATCACCTGAGTGTTGTGGCACAGGTCGAAGCGCTTGTGGATGTTGCGACACTTCAAGACGAACCATGAGTCCATGCCCAAGACCATCTTGTAGGTATGCTTATAATTCTCTTCCTTTCCTTATGTACGATATTTGACAGTCAAAATGCCCTTGCTGAACACTTTGACGATATATCCTCGGTTCAGTCAGCCGGGCGTGGGGACGCTGGAGATGTGTTGCCGGAAAGTAGAAGTCTTCGGTCTGATAGGGGTGCTGGCTGCTGTTGCTTCTGAACTGAAATGGTCTAGCGTTCGAGTGAATCGCGTTGAAAGTGCGGTGTATAGCCGGTTGAATGTGATACAGACCTGCGCTAAATGCAAGTGAAAGAGAACGGCCAAGATGTCGACGTACGATTCTGAGGTGTGATGGGTAAGAAGGGGTGTCTCTGATGGAAAGAGGACCGGGAGATTTTGCAGATCGAAGGATAGACCAGGACTGATGAACTGTGCTTTGCGACCCTCGTAAACTTGGGCAGCTGTTGATGGAGCCTTTGTCGATGTTTGATCCTGCGTGAAGACGACGCACAACGTGTGGTGTCTATCAAATTGACCTGTAGCTTCGATATCAGTAAGGGCAGAGGGTCTTTGGGGTATGATCGAGATGAACCGCAAGTTGTGAGCTTAGGATGTCCCTACATGATGAGCGCGTGAATATGGGGGGATTGGAAGTCCGCGAGAGCTAGGTGATTCACCGGACGCAAGTATAGAAGGGGAAAGAAATGCTAACAATCAGTCTCAAAACTTACCTCTTGGTATTGCCCGGGTGGTGAGGAAGACGATGATTTTTTGTTGATATTCGGGTTGGTGGAATGGGTATGAAGAAGGGAAGAATGTATCAAAGGCCAAGGGGTGAGAGGAGGTGATGTAGTGTGAACCCCGGTGATGTGAGTTGTGAAGTAGAAGAGGGCACAGCCGATGCTCTGATGGGTGATATGAAGGAGAAAAGAATTCCTCAGGGACTCCGTGAGCAAAAGATATAATGCGGTGCGAGCCCCAGTATGAAAAGAAAATAACGTGGAGAAAGGCAGTGTCGACGGTTGTGAGGTATGAAGAGGGGAGGGAGGAAGTGCTTCAAGACACCAGGCTCGGTGAGTATAAGTCTTGTGGGGTGAGGCGAGGCGAGGCGCGTGAGCGGAAGGGACGAACGGGGCTGTTCAAAGGAGGGCCGAGGAAAGTACGAACGAGGCTTGTAGAGGTGTAGCCTGCGCACTTGGCTATTGGTGATGTATGAAGTGGGAAGAATTTCCCAAAGGTCCCGGGCGTAGTTGTTTTGATATAAGCACGTGAGTTCGATGTATGTATGTGGAAAGTACGAACGGGGCGGTTGAGAGGAAAGAGGAGGAAGTGGAGGTTTGCGTCTCGTAGCCGCTCAGCTGTTGTTCGAGTATGAAGAACCAATGGATTCCTCCAAGGGCCCGAGCGAGATATATGGATGTGACCGTGAAGTGAGATGTGCCTGCCGTGGGTCTGGCAGGTGCGAATGAGGGCGGTCAAGCAGAGGGTAGAAAAAGGCAATGTGGCGCTGAACGCTCAGGAGCCCGTGAGATACGAAGGGGCAAGTAAGCCCTCAGAGATCCTGAGTAAGTATATGTGATATGAATGTAAGGCGCGGTGTGTATGTGCACATACGACAAGTAGGAAAGTGGGTGCTCGGTCTGGGTATAGAAGGCAGGTTTGCTTTTGCTCTTCCTTGTTGTGGAAGAAGAGGGAGAAGGTAATCCTTGGTTTTGTGCTTTGGTGATTGAGATATAAGAATGAAAGTGAGGAACGCCTTTGAGTGGAGGAAGATGTAGTGATTCAGTTGAGATAGGATGCGATGTTTCCATGGCAGGCACCATGAGGTCGACTTAACGGCAGGCACGATGGTTCGCTTATTCAGGAAGGCAGGTACCCTACAGTGGTATCGATCTAGGAAGCTGCAGATGATTAAGGGCGGCCCAGTTGTGTGAAATGTTTTGTGTATTATTTTGTCAACACAACGGAGGGCTATGTAGACTAACTGCTACGTAGTGTTGCTCTCTCCACACGTGAGGCTTAAATTGACTACACTACTAAATGCTGTCTGGAGTGTCACTTTGAGGGAAGACAACAGTTTGCCCAGAGGCCAGGGAAATCACTATGCCTTTAACTCAAGTTCACTCGGATGGCCGAATGAAGAATAAGAGGAATCCTTTAACAATAACGGGCTTAGTGACATACTTTCAAGTCTGTCCTATCTCTAGTAGTATAAGGTATGCTTGATCAGAAGGGTTATATTGAGCCACGGCGAGTTTATGTGGACGCATGACATCTATTGTAAGCATCTTAATGTATATCTTCAGTTCCAGAACAACTAAACTACACTAATCCTCAGTTCCAGGTTGAGTTCAAGAGATAGAGAATGCTCCATCACCGAGTGCAATGCAACATTCTTAAATTCCAATGCAGATATCGATATTCAACCTGACACTGTTGCTGGATAGCTGTTGAAGGTGTCGAGGAACTCGAGAGAACAATGGAAAAAATGAGCTCAAAACAACATGCTTACTCACGTGGAACAACAGCGCCTTGAAATAAGATTTCTCTGCTTGTATTTTCGTACGAGGAGTGGTCACGAGCGTCGTATTTGGAAACCCCCAAGGGTGGAACCGTGATGTGCTTCCTCTCCCAAGCCAAAAACTTTGCTCAGCAAATCAACAAACGTTTTGTGTTACTTTGACAACAGGCAGAAGGCTAAAAATCGCCAGAAATCACCTCACTATGGATAAATCTATGGAAAACTCGACATCAAGTCTTGGTATAGGTATAGCAATGGCAACATTTAGTGTAGCTACCAAGGACTGGGTCCACACTCCCAATCTTAACTTCCCAAGGGGACCGATCTAAGTGGCAACATAACATGAGGATTTAGTCAATTGACAACAAAAGCAACGGTGGCATGATTGACAAGCGAGGCGATTCCGAGAATGGCCTAGATAAAGCAATCCTTTGTTGAGTTATGGTGGGGCGAAATGTCGAGCTTTACTCCAAATAGAACACGCCTCAAGATTGATATCCTTTGTCTCAAATCTCTCGGGTCACCGGTGAACTGAATTGCCACTTGAAACGATGTTTGATCAATAGAGTAGAATTTCTCGTGTGTATCGTCGGCTTCGAGGTGGAGTAGCTGCTGCCTCAGTGCCATCTTGTTATATCCCAGTCAAGCAGTGTTGCCATATTCATACAGTAACCCAGATGCTATTGCTAATCCAAGCTCCCTATCATGGTAGTAAAAAAAAATTAAAAAAAAACCAAGGCTCGAACACAATGGCCATGGTGACCTTTTCCCCTCGAAAATGTCAACCCCAAACTCCTAGGCGATGCCGGAAAAGAACGCTTCGAGACACCGAAATCGGTTGTCTCTCGATCCCCGAGATGGGAAGTAAAGATGTCTCAGACGAAAACGGTTGAAAACCCCTCGGGCCGAGAACCTCAAGACCTCTCATCCTCTTCCGGGACGGACCGGAACTGGCTCTCGCGAGGCAAGGGGTTCATGCGAAGCGGGCTGTCGTCCACATCCACGCTGTTGTGGCGTGATGTGCCGGGGCTGACGTTGATGCTGTAGTAACTTGACCGCGCATCGCGGCTCATCGGGCGCTGGCCCTTTCCGAATGTCATGGTGAAGCCGTTGAGGATCTCCTGGTGTCTAAGGTTGGTTTCGTTGAAGGGCCTCTCGCGCGGGTCGGCCTCCTTCTCCTTAATGGCGGTCTTCTTCTTTGGCTTCTCTTCTTTTGCCGAGCGCCATCCGAATGTCTTTGCGAGGCGGAGAGCTGGGGACTTTGGGTCTGAGCTGGTACGCTCTCCCTGGCTAGGTTCGGAGATGGACTTGCGGCGGCGGAAGTGATCGCGAATGGCCATTGTGAAAGTGTTGATGATATGTAGAGGTGTTGAAGAGTTGGGTTGGTGGGAGAGCAGAAAGTGAGATCGGTGGCTGATGCTCTAAGAGACTGCTTGACAGGTTGTCTGAGGTGTTTGAATAGGTGAAAACTGATACTGGAGATATGTAGTGTAGCTCTGGATTGGTGTTGCAGGCTGTTGGTTTGTCTGAGTGAATTAAAAGAGGAGAATGATGGCAGGGGAGCCCGATGGTATTTATCCAGGTGTGACAAAAGGCAAAAGACTTGGCAGCATGGGAGGGGAACGGATGTGGCGATCCCAAAGAATAGCACCGTTGGAAAGACCCAAGATGGTGGGATCCGTGTCGCTCAAAGGACCTTTCCAGGACCCTGCCTGCATCGTTGGGGTTGCTCGCTAACCACTGCTTTCACGACCCGTGAGGCCATATGCAGGGCAGCTTCCACATGGACTAACAACGCGCTGGGTAGGAGTGGTAAGGTACCACTCACACCATATGGGCCGGAGATCGACTCTCCAGGCCGATGCTACCTTACGTGCTCAAGATGGAAGGCTTCTTGGATGGCGCAGCGTCCGTCTCCGGCTGTATGCGGGGGTCTTCTTCAAATGCGGGGCGACGTCATTCCAAAAACACCTGGTCTGGTGGCCTGGCCATTGCTCTTGGACAAGCTCCCTCGCCTGTGGCCGATAGTAATGCCACCGGGGTCCGATGTTTCCTGCTCTCCTCTGATCCAGATGATCTTCAACGTGGCGGGGTTAAGGTCTTCGACGGTCTCGACCCGATCTCTAAACTCATTGTTCTGCATTCTGGCCGTCCCAAAATGTGTTCTTTGAGAAAAGTCGAACCGTCCCCGATGGTACCGGCCAGGCCGGTTAGCGCTGCAGGCCTGGATTCCCGCCATGTCTCACTTAGTGCCAGGCATTTTAAACTCAATAGAATCGTAAGCAGCAATTCTCGGGGTCTAGGATCGAACGACTGCCCGCGCGTGTACGTTGAGAGGACATCAATTGGTGCGCTCTATCTCCAAAGACTTAGCCATTTCCGGAACGCCGCTACCAACACAGTGACAACCGCCAGGCTGCTGCCAGAACCCATCCTGGCCGTCTTCGAGTCTGCCCAGTACCTAATCAAGCCCAACTTAGATGTGCAGAAGGGGATACAAGCTTAGACAAAGAAGAACCTTGTGTGCGCGCTACCAAGCGTGCGCGGTGTTTCGAGTACCCCTGCTGATCCAACAGGGCTCATCGAGATGTGCACTCGGCTCCAAAAACACCAGCGCTGCTAGATCCAAGGCCTCCCAGAGCTGTGAGACCCCAAGCCAACGCTGCAGATTCCCAGTCCACATCTCCATCGGGCAGTTCGTCGCCTTCGACAGCAGTGCGGCTTTCCGCAAGACTCGGCTCGTACGCATCTTCTGGTGCCTCTTCGGGGTTTCCTGTACGCTTCATAGGACGGCCTTGACGGGTGCTTCTAGACGAAGGTGTCTCTGAAGTTGTCAACTCTGCAGACTTATTCTTTTCTGCAGGTTGATTGCCCCTGCGTCGCGTGGAGACTGTGTTGGTGTGGCTGGACGATTCCGGTTCCGGCTTTGTTTTGTCACTTCCTCCCAGTAGTTTGGGTGGTGGCTTTGCCTTCGATAAATCGTTCGGAGCGAACGGAGTAGAGGCAGCTAGAATGTCATTTACATCCAGCACACGTGTAGCCGCCCATAACCCTTGGCTGACTCCGCTGAGCAAAACGTCCCATGCCACAGCAGCTACAACAGGATGGTCGGATGCCGATCCCAAGACTTTCCCCAGCGCCGTTGTTGTACGCTCCCACGCCGAGCGTTTCTCTGTGTCAAAAGGCAGGAACCGGCTATGACGATGATAGTGGGCATTTGGCGCATTGTAAAGCAAAGCAAGCGCGGTGCCTTTGACGTGGAAGGCGAAACTTGCTGTGGACACAAAGCGAAAGAGTTCAGTGAATATGCCGTATGCTCCGTGGGGATCAGAGTACACTGTGCCCCAACTAGCTGGAACGACAGCGGGAATGACAATGGGGCCAAAAGTCAGAAGTCGCCCAAAGATTGCGATCCGGGCAAAAGTCGCTGAGCCTGTTGTCGACGGAGCCCAGTATATCAGAACATAAGTAAAGCAGAACGATGCCAAGAGCAAGGCCGGGTGTGGCGTCCAATTTATAGGCTTCACGGGCAGTAATCTCTCGCGCAGGCGTCCTAGTACAGAGGTGGGATGTCTGTTGTCTGCTGTGGTGGTCGGGGCAGGAGTAAGAAGCAGTGCGAGATAGAAGAGGTTCTGGGCGAACGAGAGGCTGACGAGATGTGCTAATCCGAGGTAGGCCCAGACAGAAGGGATTCTTCTTCGTGTGCCTTCGACAGCTAACAGCAAGCTCCATGAGACGGTTGCGAGTTCGATTTGCTGGCCCCACCAGAACCGACGAGTTTTCTCGGCGATGATCTCGAGAGCGTCCAAGTGGATTGGGGTGTCACTTAGCCAGCGGCCAATAAAGACTTGGGTCGCGGTTTCGTTGGGGATGACTCCACGATCGCCATAGAAGCTAAGGTTCCATGAGTAAGCCAGACAAAGAAAGCGCAGAAGACGAAACAAACCGAACTGGAGCTTCAACTCCACGCTGGTCTGCCCAGACGCGATATGAAAGTTTCGCATAGCTTGAGGCCCAGTAACTTGCAAGCGACAAGCTAATGAGTGCCAAACTTGCGAACAACGGTGCAAGAGCTGAACGGCGAACAAGTCTTGCTCTTGTTCCTTGAGATGGCGGCAAGTGTTGATACGACCTGTAAAGACTTCGGGCGACAGTGGTGCCGAGGATTGCCACTGCAAGCGCATGGCCAGCCACCAAGCTCAAAGGCAGGTACCTGATTATCACGTTAGAGTTGTTGGCTTTCAATTCGATGGATCAAACACACTTCACTTCCGGTTCCAAGGGCACCGGCGCCATGTTTATTTCGGTGAAATGGCCAAATGTTTGAGGCTGATTGTGGTGTTGTTACAGGATAATCAGCCAACCTGAGGTGAGTGATGTCGACCTTGGGGGTCAAACGATGCAGGTGCGGCGCGCGTCATCATAGCACACACTTGAGCGCGTTCCTTGGAAGCTCACTCGACAGCCTCTGCCTGCTGTCGTCAATCACAGCGTCGTTATGAGGTGTACAACTACCTCCATTCGGGCAAGATGTGCTGTGTCGTCATGGTAGCGGTACCAGGCTACCAGGTATGCGTACCTAGGTAGACAGGGGCCCAGGGCCTCTGGCGGGAAGTGGAGTTCCAGAAGCTGCATGTCAAGCACAGACCAGCGTGAGCCGGAGAAACAGAAACGGCGGCAGGGCTAGCGCGGGCAGGACTGCGACCAGCCCCACACCTCACCAACCATAAAAATCTCTTCTTGCGATGCAGCGTTTCTTGTCTTCCATTTTCCTCTTTACTACAATCCGGATCAAATTTACATCGACATATGTTTTTGGTCTGTATGGCGGCTCCGCTATGCGGCTTGCTGAGGGTTGTCCTGTTCTCCTTGGACTTTCTTCCGTTCCCGGCCTCCTAAAGTAAATCCTATGTGAACACCTTTCCTTATCAGCCGAGTATGACGACTCTTCCTGGTATTTGACTGTGGGGTGGTCTCAACATCCTTTTGTAAAGGAACCTGAATTATAAAAGAGGAAACTTTCCACCGCGGAATGACTAGTTGCCATGTTCCTGCCGACCTGAACCTCTATGCGTAGACGGGCAACACGCTTCAAAGCAGCCGCAGTTCCTTCACCTACCAGTGTCGCGCAACACCTCGATTAGACCATGATACGCCACGGGTTGTCTTGATCATGACAACCGTTGTCTGAACAATCGGCCGAGTATTACAGTAGCTAAATACGACCCTGGCATGCGGATTGATTCACAGTTGACGTTAAAATTTGCATCCACGACACTCATATATCCGTACGATTGCCGTCGGACTAGAGGCGGCGTCAAGTTGCTACCTTTCAGTTTCCCATCACTTGAACTGTTCAAGCCAAGGTCTAAAATGGCTGCTCAACACGAACGTCCATCCTCCACCAATTTTGGCATGGAAGCCTGCGGGTCCGTCTCTATGGCAGCTTCGACAGAGTGATTTGCCTAAAAATGATCACGCCTTCAAGTTACCAAACGTAGTTGGTGTTTCGGCCTCCGGAACCATTCTTCAAGACAAGGAACACGAGAACAATAGTCGCCAGCGCAAACCCGAACGTCACAAACTGCATAGCCTGGTCTGCGGTTGCCTTCCTGCATCTCTCTAACAAGACATCGTCGGTCATGCCAGGTGCCAAGTACCACTGTCCATCTTGTTTGAATTTTCCACCGTTGATGATATTGTTGTGCCCAATGGCTTTCCAATGCTTTTCGTCACACGCAACACCGCGTAACCCAATTGCGAAAGCCTGCCAGTCCGTTAATAGCAAATACATGGTATGGTCCTCGATGGACTTACGATACCACCACCGAGGAGTAAGACCCCACTCAGGGCGTCCGTAGCCATCACTACGAGAGCCGGAATGGCGTCTATGAAAACAGATAATAAGCCCAGCACGGCGACGGCTAGTCCAAAGCCTCCAGTAAATGTGCTGTATTTGGTAGTCGTGGGAGCGTCGCCAATCTTCTGTCCCTTGACAAGGTCGACAGAGAGCCCGAGGACGACGATAGCCATGATGCCCTGGAGAACGCGCAGTGTCAGCTCAACCTGATTTCCAGAGTCCACTGAACGAGACGAGCGTATTATCACAAACCTGAAGGGCCCAAACGCCCATGCTGATGATTTTAAGCATCTTCGGAGCTTGAGACTCTATTCCGTTTAGGGTGTAAGTGCTGAGCTTCTGTGCGAATGATGATAATCTTTTCGATATACAGGTATTATGAGGCAACGAAATTCAACAACGAAGAAGTGCAACAAAGTAGAAGACGATAGATAGCTCGCTTATATAGTGTGCTCATTCAAAGACGAGGACAGCCCTTGAGCAACTGTGTCACTCGAAGGAGCAGGCAGTCAACGACCGACACAGATCTTCAATCGGCCCCAAGACGGCGCAGCAGGGCGTTACTTATTCTGCTCCCGTTTCCAAGTGGCACATAGGTGAATTTCCTACATGTTTGCGCCGCCGGACGAGTCACAACGACTCCTCGTCGGCTACTTGCATATCGGGCAGGCTGCTTTGCCAGCTTCTGCCCGGTGCTACCGTCCAATCACCGTACCACAGGACTTCTTCCCTCTCATCTTAAGGCCTACAGTCTGGCTCAGGCTTCGGCCTCACAGGCTACAGCAGTCAAAAAAAAAAACCGAAGAAGCAGTGAGTCGGTTCTGAGACTAATCCTACAGAATCTTGCCCTCGAAAGCATCAGATCAGGTTCCACCATACGAAGGTAGTTCAGCAAGAATCGGTTCGGAAACAAGTAGCCAAGGGAGTGGGCCACCGCTTCGCAAGAAAGAGCAGATACGACCTCACTTTTGCTGGTATGGCATGTTGTTGTTTGCCCGTCTAAATCTGGAAACACCATCTCGGGCGCCTACTCAAGTCGCTGCCTCGCCCTGAGCGGACCCTCTCAGGGCCAGCAGTGAGCACCGCCTGTCCCGCCTGCTCCAGCTTCGGGGAAAATGAAGGATATTTATATAGTACCTGGCATGCCAGCTCCAGGCGTCGAGTTTCTGGAAACCGCTGACTCATCACACGAAGCTTAGAAGAACTGCTGCGATGAGGTAAGCCGGAGAATCTAAACTTGAGCTTTCCGAAAGATGGCCGGATAAGTGGAGTCCATCTGAAAGTGCCAATGCAACTGTATCCGTCACTTTCCACTGCATTTTGAACGCACGGGCCAAGTCGCGATTGGTCTGCCCAAATTTTTTCGACAGCTTCCATCATCGGCCTGCAAGCCCACATCTCCTGTCCACTGTCCAACTCCGATCCCCGGCTTCATTCATCCGCCACGTCCACAACCTTCGCCATGTCGTCGCTTTGGGATACTCTTTCTGGTCGCAAGTCCTCTCAGAAGGACGCTGGTGCTTCTCAGTCTTCACCGGCCCCCGAACCTACAACCACCTTCCAGAATACCCCAGCACAGTTCGACCCTTCAGCAGGATCTGGCGTCGAGTCTTTCCTTCAGAGCTCATCCTTTGCCGACCCCGCGCAACTACACCCCCTCTCTGGACTGAACAAGGACACACTCGAATACCTTTCCCTCGAAGATGCGGCTCTGGCGGATGTCCCTGGCCAGTCTGCCCTCCCCTCCCGAGGCTTCACCGATGACCTCTGCTACGGAACTGGAGTCACATACTTGGCAGCCTTGTCGATAGGAGGAGCCTGGGGACTGCAAGAGGGTCTAAGGAGATCCGCCAACCAGCCGCCGAAGCTACGACTTAACTCAGTGCTTAACGCCGTCACTCGCCGTGGCCCCTTTTTGGGTAACTCCGCTGGTGTCGTTGCCATTACCTACAACTTTTTCAACGCGGGTATCGGCTACTTCAGGGGAAAGCACGACTCTGCCAACACGATTTTGGCTGGCGCTTTTAGTGGAATGGTTTTCAAGAGCACAAGGGGTGTGCGGCCCATGTTGATTTCTGGTGGTGTTGTGGCCTCCGTGGCCGGTGCCTGGGCTGTAAGTTGCCGTCTTCATAAGTGTATTGGCGTCGCATGTCTAATCGTTTTCACAGGTTGTCCGCAGTACTTTCTTCTCTGCCCCCGAGCCTATTACTTCCGAGCATGCCACCTTGTAATTTACGACATAACCTGACGAATTGTCCCCGTTGAACCCCGCCAGTAATGATTATTCATTATGCCCATGGATCACATTGGATCTGTGGACGATGATGCTCGCCATTGCGAGCTTCTTCTATCTGTTGTTTGAGTAGGAAATTTAGAGCGCCTTAGAGGAGTCTTGGGCATTGTGACGGACGATCTCTCCTCAAGTGGACCCGTGTACAGTATTTAGGAAGGAGCATTAGAAGACCGCATCACTGGGTGGAAGTGGGCGTTCGGTACCTGTCAAAAAAGAACAACATTACACGTTTCTACTACGTCCAAGTATCCTAGACGGTTGTTCTCATGTTGAACTGGCCTGCCGGCCTGATGGCAATGGAAGGGAACACCCTGAGCAGCATCTAACTAGGACGGGCTCTCGTTGGGCTACCGATTGCCTTTCATCGCAACTCTAATGGCGTAGGAGAACATTATCATGGAGAGGCAGCAGGCTACATACCATGTCTCTTATGTCCACTTCACCTGAACTCGCATAGCAACCTCGACGTAGAATTGATCTTCAAGTTACGGCCACTACCACGGAAGATGGAGATATCCACAGAGATTCGGCAACTCGCGACAAACTTGATCGATCTTGAGCTGGACAACATACGAGCTAGAGCGAAGTATCTCGACCGCTCTACATACGACACAGGGTCAATAGGAGTTCACGTCTACAATGATGTCGGTGGACAGTATTTTCTCCCCTACGATACCTCGTCACCACTACCTAGAGAAACAAGCTATCTCTACGAGCCTCTCAGCGCCCGAGGCCACAGTCTTCAACGCAAGGTCCGGTCGTTGTCGCATGATGGGTTGATGGCCTTGTACGAATGTGTGTCACAGGAGATCGATGAGCTCGACGAGGCCAACGAGACTGAAAAAATTGTCGAGGCAGCCGAGACTGACGAGATCGATGAGACAAACGAGACCGACAAGACAAAGGAAGCCGACGATACCGACGATCAAGCTCGTAGCGATGATATAATCGAAGGTCTAATTCCTTTAAGCGAGCCCGATGGCCTTGGGAACGACAAGCGGGCATCGCATCTCGCCCTGAGGAAAAAAGTCCAAAGCATCCGGAACTTTCGGTATGAACAAACCCGCTGACTTCTATTCTTAGATCCAGGAGGTTTCCCGAGTAAAAATGTTTCGCTTGAGCACTTCCTCTCTGATCGACAGCGATTCCATTGACGTAGTCTTGATATACCTTGACAGCAATGGGAACTCGATCCTCCAGAAGTCGTCCTGGCCGGTATGGACCGACTTCGAAGCTTTCATCAAAACAATGTCTGTGTATCATCACGAGGTCACGATCAAAAGGGGCGGTAGCGTGGAGAACATCAAGCAAACTTTCCTACAGAAAATCGACGACTTCAGTCAATCCAAACCCGGACCTCCCAGAATCGCCATCGCCAGGACGTACCAGACCTGGTTCAATAATCTTGGCACTATGAATGATGCGTGGGGTTACGTTACGGTCGACGCCCAACAAAGTGTTGATATTGCAGCGAACTAGAAGGCCCCGCATGACCTTGGAGGCAAAGATGCCTTTGATGCGATGAATAGATTAGGAAAAGCAGGAGGAAGTACTGTTGGTTTGGTCAAGGTAAGTCAAGCACATCGCGTTTCGGGTTGGAGACTTGGGATTCACCACTCAGTAGCTGTGGCAGCGCAAATTAACCAAGCAGCTACCCGAAGTCCTGTAGCTAGCCGGCCAACCATTGCTTGCGCCTCTGACACCAATGTTCGCTGCATACGGCTTCTTTCCCTATGGCATTAAAAGACTGTTGAAAGCTTCTTTTGACGGAGATCTTGAGGACAATGATTGGCCCGAGGATTTCCGCTGATGGATTTTGCGCGTTGTTCTTGTTCGCTCGCCCCATGGTAGCTCAGCTACGTGTTGATGCGAGTATCGATTGTGCTTCAGAGTTGGATGTTCGTATGTCTTGATTAGTTTGGCCTCGGTCATTTGAATATGGCTATTACGCTCGCGTTGATAACTAATGAATTGTGTTGCCGCATTGCATCTCCTATGTACACAGTATCAATTCCAAAGACGATGCGGTCTTCTTTCAGTATCAAGGCATACAAAGGGCCAGAGTCGTAATTGGGAATTCCCATTCCAAGCGTCATTGGAGTTCAATAACCTAGTAAAGGCTTCTAGAGCGGACCTGCCGTGAGCAACTGTTGCTTCGGACCCCACTCCCGACTGACTTCATCTTTCACTCCTACCACTACCGTACTCGTACCCGAACCCTCAAGCAACATTATTGCAAACTCTTCGAATCTGTAATTCGTCTCCCAACTGTCTTCCAAATATCGCCAAAATGTGCGGACTTTGGCCTTTCTCGAAGGCACACTACGACAACGAGGATCCGCCACTTGTCTATCGCCTTGGCTGGGATGGCCAGAGATACGCTATAGATGTTGTAAGTGAAATGTCTCTTGGATACTTTTTGCTTTCTGTCCCCCTTTCTTGGCATCCCAACAATGGCCGCTGTTTCCCTCCGTTTGCCCAGTAAGCCCACGGAAGATCTTGCAATGGCCTGCCCCCTTTTGTGTCTTTCAGCCTCAGAGACAGAGAGCCGGCCAAGATATCACTGGAGCGGGTCGCTGGTTTATCGAAGCTTCAAGCCGCAGTGGTATCTCAAGCCGCAGTGGATCTTCATGCGGCTGGGTGAAGAGATCTGAATGAGTTCTCGCTTTGGACCACTCTTCAAATCTCTTCTTCTTCACATTTCTTTGACCAACTTCATCTTTTATCAGTTCACCCAAGACTGTGATGAGGTGAGCAGTCCCAGCTCATCAAAGCCCTCCATTGACAAAGGGATCTGGTCTCCTGGCATTTGGTCTCTACCCCTGGATTTTCGAGTTTGACACACCAATCAAAACAAAATCGACCTCGATACTCGAGAAACAAGGATTCGGCGTCGAGTTCAATATTTGATCGAGTCCAGCAAATCCGCCATGAAGTCTCCCAAGAGCAAGTCGGCTGCCAACACCACCGGCCCGCGGCAGGTGCGCTTCACGGAGGATCGCAGCAACCCAGGTGCTGCCTTCCCCGTTACCCAGGGAACCGACACCTCGACCGCTCCTGCCTTCAACACCCACGAAAGCGACGCGGGTGCAGACAGCGGTGTCTTCGTCCACACGTCAACCAATCCATCTGCCTCAGTCAATCTTGGCCATCACTTTCCTCCCACACCCTTCGGTCAGGCTGCTCACCCACACCTCAACCCTTTCATACCCTCCACCTCGCACCCCGCCTACATCACAGAGACCAACTCGTTCGCGCCTTTCGGCAAATTCAACCCGTGCGGACTTTCCGCGCCTCCCTACGTCAACATGGGCGACTACCAGAACGTCGCTCCGCCTGCTGGTGGCCTTCACTTCCAGCCGCCGGTCCCCGACACCACCTACGGCCCCATGCAGCACGTTTACGTGCCTCGCTTCGACAACGGAATGCCTCCGGTCTATCAAGTCGGTCTCCCTCATGCTCAGGTTCTGCCAGTGGCTTCTTTTATTGCCCCGAAGCCTGCTCCAGTCCTGCTTGGCGCGCCTCTTGTTGTTGTTCATTATTATGCAAGTCCTCAGCACACACACGCTGCGATTGCTTCCTGAGCCGAGCGGCTTATGTGACCCATCGGGCACCTGGATTTCTTTGCTTCGCCTGGCCGTCTCATTTTCATCTCACTAAGCTCACCCGAGGTTACGAGAAATAGTTCGCTGACTTGAGATTGTAGCAACCCCCCGCCAACAACGTCACCTACATTGGCCAGGCTCCCCCTCAGCCTCCCATCATCATGACCCAGCAGCCTGCTATGCACGCGGGCATGAGTATGCACCCTCCGATCATGCTTCAGGCTCCTCCCGCCGGCTTCAGCGGCCCTCCCATGTTCCAGGGTGCCCACATGGGAATGAACATGCCTCCCAACATGGGCGGAGGTGGAATGCCCGTCTTCCCAGGTAATACCAATCTTCCTCCGGACGTCACTGGATATGGCAAGACTGCTGGAGAGGTCGCCATGGAGCAGGCCCAGTTTGCCTATTCCAATGGCCTCTTCGAGCCCCAGGACTTCAAGCCTGCGGACGATGACCCATCCCGCTACTATCCCGTTCGAGAGGTTGACGGTAACTGGACCCAGCGCAATCGTTTCACTATTGATAACCTTGGCGATTGCCGTTGGTATGTCACCAACGAGGGCTACTTCTACGCCGTCCGTTTGCCCAACTGAGGTGTTCCTGCATTACCGGTATTTCACCTCAATCGGATGGAGACGAGATGAATTGCTGACGTTCCAAGTAGAGCCAACCAGGCAGCGAGATGACTTGGAAGATCTCGGCGTGAATGGTGAAACGAAGAAGGTGTTCTCTTGAGTACGCGAACAGGAATGGGGAGGCCCTCATGTCTGATTATGGTAGATGATTTCAACTTCCCGGCAGCTTGCCCTTCAGACCTCTCTAACCCGTCATTGGTCCTCAGCTCGACAGGTAAGGCACACAATCTATGGCAAATATACAACCACTGACAAGTCATTAGAACTCTCATTAGAACAAGCTGCCTCTCTGCTTCAAGGGGTTGTTTACATCATTCGCCCAAAGACAGCGCATACCAAACTGGGCTGAATGGGATGAATGGGAGAGGGGGATAAGTCAATAATTTTCCTATGTCGACAGGCCAGAGAATGCTCTTGCCCAGGCCGCTAAGATCGCGGTTAAGGTCGGAATTGGAGGCAGCTTTCGATACATGGTTTGGATGTAGGCCAATATGTCTATGCCTGGGGTCATTTAATGATGGCTCGAGAATGGCTCGATGCCTCGTTCCGAACCTAGGTAGATTGCGAACCCCATAAGATTGATTCCGAGACGCTACATTTGTCTGATTACGTTGCATGCGTGAAAACTTAAAGCGATGAGACTGAGCGGACTAATACAGCTGTCAAGAAGCCTATCAGGTATGATTGAGCGTGTCAGAGGTCATGATGTTCAAAGAAAATAGAATGCTTTCCCTTTTTGCCCACTGTTGGTGGAACTCTTATTGAATAATTGTCATGTGCTTTATTCTCAGAGTCCGGTAGCACTGGCTACCTAGGTAATATACCTTAGGCAGGTACGAAAGTCGGGCGGTTCCTTCCCAACCTGAGCGAGGTAGTCACTTTGACCTGGCTTCACCTACCTTCGTTGGGTCCACGCCCTTTCGCATCCAATGCATCCATAAACGTAGAGATGCCACCCAAATTCTATACTTTCATTTCCTGAAAGCTCTCTACTGAATTTGATCAAGAACAAATTCCGCAATCTTCGTCGATGACCGAGCTGCATCCACAGTACAGAACCTCTCATTGACAGCATCTCGGTAGTCAACCTCCAAAATGACGCGTAACACCCGCAGCTCTACCATCTGCGAGTGGGCACTTGGAGTCAGCGTCGAGGAATACTGCAACTCTATTGAGCGGCGCAGACGCAAGAAGTCCAGCAGCAGACAACGAATCTGCGTCGAGATTTCCACTGACGACGAATCCGAGGAGGATACTGTCAAAATCACGTACCCGCGCGCCGATCGCAGAAAGGACTCTCCGGGCTCCGGCTCCAAGAAGGTCCGTTTTGAGAAGGCCTCAAAGAAGCCTGCGCTTCAGGCTGTAGACGCAGAAGCTGAGTCCAAAGGTGATACCGAGATCCAGGGTGGTCACGAGTCCTTGAATTCCATCAGAAGAAGACACAACTAATCACGGAGCAAGCAGACAAAAATAAATCGGATAAGGCAGATGACACATCGGCATCTGAGTCGGAAGCTAAGGCGAAGAAGAAGAGAGGTGTCAAGGCCGCCAAGAAGAAGGTAGTGGATTCTTCGTCCGAAAGTGAGACTGATGAGACTGAGGATGACACGCCGGCACCTTCTAAGAAGAAGACACAAGAAAAGACGAAGGACAGTGTCAAAAAGTCATCCAAGACCAAGGGCAGCGCTACTCCAGCCGATGCTGAGCCCAACAACGTCGGCCCTACTGTCAAAAAAGTCCGAAAGAATGGAGGAGCGAAGACGAACGAGACCAAGAAGGTCGACAAGCCTCAGAAAGTAATGCCCGAGGCGGCGTTGTCTCCTCACCTGCGCCGACCCAATCTCATTATGCCCATTCGCGCGGAGGTCGTCCAAGTTGAGCACACCATTGAGGGCGTCGAAGATCCTCGACCCAATGCTTTCCACGACCCTCAGAACGGTGTTGTCCGAGTCTATCATGGACCAGCTTACGGTAATCCTTACGGCTTGCTCTATCCTTCTCGCGACCCAAACAATGCTCCTTTGCCGATGGGCGTCCCCCATCCCCTACAGAACCCCTATTTCTACGGTTTCGCCAACCCCTCAAACCCCGGAGATAACCACTTCAAGGGCCAGTCTCCCTGGAGCTCTATGCCTGTCACTTGTATGCCTGGAGGGCCTCCAGTCATGGCAGCAGTCGACCCGATGCAGATGGGAATGCAGATGCCGCCGTGGTGGGGTCCCATGTCTCCTAAAGCTCTTTCTCCAAAGGGATCTCCAAAGCCTGTTATGTCGGGGGCTATTCCAGGAGACGCGGCATCGACGACAGGTACCAAGAATCAGGAACAAGGATGGGATACCAACGTTGGTCCTCAACAAACCAAGGCTACTTCGCCTCTGACAAAGGTAGCGAGTCCCAATAACGTGGTTCCTGCTTCTCCCATCAACATCAATTTGACGGTGAATCCAAATACACCATGGGCTGCATTTGCTAGCGACCTCAGCAAAAAGTCTACTCCGAACAAGAATGGATCGCAAAATGGGAGCAAAAATTCTTGGGGATCGAAGAAGAGCACAGACTGGCAGCCCCTGGCCAGCGGCCAGCATCCTGATCTTGCTTGGGGCAACACTGCCACGAAGAGCCAGGGAAGTAACAATTGGAGCAACAAGGGGAGTAACAAGGGAAGCAATTCGGGCTGGACGAAAATTGGGGATGCGAACAATGATTCTTGGGGAGCGACTGGAGGCAGTGGAAGCAACAGTGGGTGGAACACCACGAATACCGCCCAGGCCAATGATGCTTGGGGAACATCCGGCAATACTCAGAGCAACGACGCCCAGACAACTTCTGGTGGCGATGGTTGGACGGCGACGAATGGTACCACTTGGGACAATACCGACAATACGGACAAGGATGGATGGGGAACCTCCAATGACCAGTCAGCCGATCCCTGGGCTAACTCTAGAGGCGACTACAGCAACAACTGGGGAACTGGATCGAACCATTCCAACTCGAAGAAGTCAAACAAGAGCCAAAATGACAATGGAAGCAATGGAGGTACCAGCGGTCAAGCCAAGGCTGCTACGGACTGGGATGGCCAGGGAAACAATGTTGGCTACTCAGAATCGGAACGTAAAGTGTCAAACAACTCGAACAAGTCTAGCAAGTCGAAGAAGACTTCACCTCCGCCACCCTCAACCAATGCTGGCTGGGACAACAACGCTGGGCCTTCGACCAACAGTCCCGTCGGTAACTCATCCGGCAAGGGCAACGGAAATAAGAAGAGCTCAAAGCATGCGTCCAAGGGCGATACGTGGGCGACTGCTAGCAACTCGGCCTGGACAACATACAACAACGCTGGCCCAACGACCAACAATAGCCCGCGCAATTCCCAATCGTCGAAGAAGAGCTCGGCAAGCAAGAGGGAAAAGACTGATCAATGGGTTTCGGCTGGCGGTGGCGCCGGGTGGGGCCCCGAGACCACGAGCGGCGAAGTCAACTATGGCCCCACGGCGACTGAGATGAGCAAGACTTCAAGCAGCAGCAAGAGTATGCCAGGCGCTTGGGATACCAACGTCCCTCCTTGGGGAGACCCGACTTTGGCGCAGTCGACAAGCGGTGCGGCAGACCAATGGTAGAGGTGGCTTTGGCGAAGCCGAGTTCAGAGGGAGCTCTTGCATGATATCGCAGCAAGAGAAGCGAAAAGGCAGTCGGCTGGCGGAGGTATTTGACAGCAGCTGGTAGATTTTCTTGGAACCGAGAGATCTCGGCGTTCAGCATCTTTTGGGGCATTTCCCCCAGCAAGGAGATTGTGGACTTTGGCGAATGCATTATTTGGCGATGACTTGGGAGGGTGGAGGGGGTTTGCGTGTTGAAGAGACACTGAGTCTTACGAGTCTAGATTGTTTTACCCGCATGGGAGGCGCGCGGGACGTTGCAGCTTTCACCTGAGTTCTACACCAGCTGGATGAGAAACAGCTTGGCACCAGAATTTGACACAGACAGATCAAGAAACATTGAAACACAGGTGCTGGTCAACACAGGTGCCGGTCAAAGAGTGAGAGTGGATAATTTGCCAATGGCTGCAGTCTACAAGATGTGTGCTACCTAAGTACCGACATCCCGTCCACCGACAAGAGATATTCCAGGTTAAGGGAAACGCTAAGTCGCCGAGTGGAGATGGGAATGAAGAGGAAAGAAAACCAGCGGACTGTTCTGGCAATGCTGCCCAGAAAAGATGTGCGAATCAAAGTGAATGTTGGGCACGAAACGTCACTTGACACCGAAATGCCAATAACGTCTCCCAATTTCTCCGTCAAGTACGCATTTACTCTTCCTCCTCGCTCGACTCCTCCTCCGATGCCTCCTCAAGCCACTTGATGAAGGGCTCGGCGGCCTTGCGGACCTTCTTGGAGGTGGACAGGTCGGTGTACTTCTTGCTGGCCTTGGTGCCCCACTTGACGGCGACCTCCTCGCTGAGGAGATCGTGGTTGTAGTACAACTGGAGGATCTTGACAACCTTGTCAAAGATGTCAGAGTGCTCCTTGGCGAGCTGGCCGATGAGGCGCTCGGTACCACCGAGAAGGGCCTTCTCGTGGCGCTCAGATGTGACAAACTAGAGGACACAATTAGTAAAGGGCCCATGTTTCGTTGGTCCAAATGACGTGAACATACCTGCTTCATCATGCCGGCGCGCTTGGGGATCTGGGCGAGAATGTTCTCGTCGAAGATGGTTTGCACCAGAACCAGGACGGAACGATGCTTGGTCTCGATACCAAGCTCCTTGGCCTTGACAAAGATGTCAATCGAGTCGACCTTGTCGACACTGCCCTTAGCAGTGGCCTCATCCTGGATCCAGGTGCCAAACTCGTCGTAGACGGTGCTGCCAGAGGCCTCGCCATCCTCGTCCTCGTCATCGCCCATGTTGAGCTTCTGCTTGAATTCGCCGGGGAGCTGAGCCTGACGGGCCTTGACGGCCTCCTCGCTCATGTCGACGGCCCACTCGTGCTCCTGGGTCTCGAACTGGTCAATCTCGGGAGCCTCCTTTTTCATCTTCTCCAACTCGTCGTCACTACCAACATCCTGGTCGTCGGCGTCGTTGGAGCCGTTTTCGGATCCTTCTCCGCCGCTTCCGCTTCCGTGTCCGTTCTCCTTGGTACCGTTAGCCTTCGCGCGGCGGGCAGCCTTACGCTCGGCCTTGTCCTTCTTGCCCTTCTTCGGCTGGTTCTTCAGGATGTAACCGCTAAGCTTCAGACGGAGGTCGACCTCGGAACGCTGGCCACAGGCCTTGCAATCGAGAAGAATGCGACCGTCCTTGATGTTGACGTCGGTCTCGGGGTTCTTGCACTTCTTGCAGAGAACGAAACGGTTGATGAAGCCATCAAGGTGGTCTTGCAGCTTAGCGGCGTTGTGCGAACCGTTGATAATCCAGCGGTCGTCGGCGGGGTCAACGTTGGTCTGAGCACCGAGCTCGAAGCCGAAGTACTTGATGACATAGGCACCGGGACGGGCGAGAGACTGAGCGACACTGCTCAAGTTGACGACAACGGTCTTGATACCGTTGCCCTTGCCCTCAATCTTTGTGACGATCTTTTCCATCTTGTAGCGATAGAAAGCGTCCTTGACGTCGCGACGAACGTTGATGAGGGAAGCCATAATTGCGATATTGGTAGTAGGTGGACTGAAGAAGAGTCTTGGAAGAGTATTTTTGTGTTAGGAGGTTTGTTTGGATCTGGAAGTTAAAAGGCTCAGGATATGAAGCTGGCAGTGCTGTTGTTTGGACGGGCGGGTAGCATGAAGAAGCCGGAGGTCGTGATAGTATAGGATCGACGGATTGGCGAGGAAGCTGGTAGGGGAGCAAGAAGGCGGACTCAATGCTCAAGGGTTCTTTTGATGAACATAGGGTAAAGCGAGACTAGATCGTCTTTGCTGTCGAGAATTCATGAACTCCTCTGGGTTCGGGATTTCAGCCAACGGAACTGATGTTGGGGCTACAAGGTTTCGCTATGCGAAATGATTGCAGCTTGGGGACGAAGTGTCTGAAGACGGTGGTATTGTCGTGCTGATACATAAACTGCTATGTGGCTTGTACCGCGTGAGGGTGGTGTTGTATGTTCAACTCTCGCGGAAGAAGACTCGGTGGTCGGAAACGCGGCGAGAGAGGATGCTACTGGCGATTGTTGACGATACTGTGGTTCTTTATGGCGGGGTGTTGGGTGGTGGTGTGGAAAGTGGCAACGTTCTCAGGAGAGAGAGGGGTGGAGGAGGGAAGAGGTTTTGTACGCTTGGAAGATTTTACCGCGGAGGACGCGAAGATGCAGAGATGCCTAAGCAGGGCGGTGAACTGCGATTGCGAAAAGGTGGGTTTAAGATAATTGCGAGATGTGCTCGAATGGATCTCCGAGCGGAGGGTTTTGTGCGTTTTTTTCTTGTGGGTGGTGGGAAGAGGAGAAAACGGAGATGACTGGGCAGTGAGCGCAGAGTTTTGGAAAAGGCTGAGGTGGAGTCGGAGGGTGGTGGTAGCGGCGGCAGGACAGGAAGTTAAGAAACACATGAAAAGTCCCAGAAAGAAGTGCCTAGAAATGAAAATAAAAATCCCTGGAAATAATAAAGTGGATCTCCCTTAGAGCGCTTGCCTACGAATTCACTGCCGCCCCAGCACCTCATTCACTAAGGCGCCCCCCAAAGGACAGTCAAGGTTTGGGCGCTGGGGGCGGGAAGTCTGGCGGGCTGGCAGCATGGCACGCTGGCTGGCCCTTGCCTCGTGCCCGTCAGAGTTGCGCCACCACTCAAAGACCCCCCTGGAGCCGTTCTGTCGAACACCTCAGTCAGAACTTCAAGCCATGGGAGCCTTAAATCCGAGTTTGAGGTCGTTGTTCGCTCGCCTGCCCTCGCGGCGCCACCGGACCAGTCCAGTGTCCAGGATGCAACACGCAGCTGGGCAGCCAGTTCCACTTGCTGCCTTGCACGTTTATTTAGCCTCAAGTTTCATTGTTGCTGCACTTTGTGTCGTCCCCCCATCACGACATCCAAAGTACGTAGACATTTGGATATCACAAGGCATCAAGACAACAAAGACGCCAAACATCTATCTTGCCTTCTGTCTCCCTCTCTCTGTGTTCTTTCCACCCTCGAGCGTGTTTCACACTCGTTTGTTTCTCTCATGATTATTTCAACACCTCCTACCTTCATCAGGCAATACTTGAGACAGCAAAGGGGGGAAAGCCAAAAAGCCTGGCGCCGTTTCCTGGTTCCATTGGCACTTGAAAGGGGGAAACCCGCGACAGCTCCGCGCCGGGCACAGGCCAATCAACGGCCTTTCCTGCTCCTCGATCAAGCGCAATTCGCACCGCAATTGTGCGGGAAAGGTCAAGGAAGCTTTCCAAAGGATCCGGGGCAGCACGCAGCAGAGGACGGGCAACATAAAACTAAAAATAAGCGACGAAAAAAATACCTAGCGACTGGACACCCTAACATGGGGATCAGGAATTCCCGTTTCGCCATCAGGTGGATCCAGTCTCTGCAGCATGCAGCCTGCTGTCCGCCATTCCTTTTGCTCGCTCGCCTCGCCTAACGCCGGCTCACAAAGCCGAGCCAGTCATTGCCATGCAAGTCATCACTCGACTTGCAGATTGCCTTGGCTAAGCTAGGTATGTATTCAAAAAGCAGGGCAGTTGGCAGCGGAGAGCCTGGCCTGTCCACGTAAACGTGTGCGGTCCCATGGCACTCCCAAGCAGGGCAACACAGGCAAGCCGCACATGGAACAACATACATTCATGAATCACCACAAAATCTTTCTGGCACGATGTGACTTGGTGTCAGCCTTCTATATAGGCCTCTACCGTGCCCATTCAACCACAATTGCCAAGCTGTCTGGTTTGTCGAGGCACGCTGTTTCTCACTGATTCAGCATTCCTGCCTCAGACCCCAGATGCCACAAACGCTACCTACCCGTGCTCCAGTACCAGAATGATCAAACACTTGCAGAAACGCCCAGACGCGATATGCCATCCATACACTTCGCGCCAAATGCAACATGCACTATGCAACTTTGAGGTCACCCCGTTCCTCCCATCGAAAACCTCATCATTCCCGCTTCTCGCCAGCGGGAACAAACTGCAGCAAACACTTTTGTCCCAGGGGTCGCGAGGAGATGAGCTGGTCCGACATGGCCATCGACTCCTCCGTCATCGACGTCTCAGGAAGCGTCGTGTAACGGGTGTAAATGTCCGTCAACAGAGTCTTCATCTCGGCGAGCGCCAGGCTTGGTGGTTGTGCCTTGTTAACAGACAGGATCTCACTTTGGATGGATTATGGAGGTTACTCACTGCTTGCCAACACATCCTCGGCCTCCGTTGGCAAACGCAAACATTAGCCGTTTCCTCTCCGCGTCCCCCGTTGGCTCCATCCACCGATCAGGGTTGAACAAGTCCGGCTCCGGGAACACTTCCTCGTTGATACGATGGATGGAATACGCCTGGCAGCTGACAGTAGTCTTCTCCGGGATGGCATACCCGTCAATCACCCGTCCGCCCTGGGGAACATAACGCGGTAGGGACATTGGGATAGCTGGAAAGCACCGTAACCCTTCCTGCACAATGGCATCGAGGAACGGCAACGTGTCGAACGCGGCCCCAGGGTTCTCTCTCAGCTCTCGGCGCAGCGTCTCCTGGAAACGCAGGGATCGCGGCTGCGAGAGCTCCCACATGAGGAAGCACAGCCCGTCGCCCGTCGTGTCGATGCCCGCCGCCATGTGGTCGAGGCACTCGCCCGCCATGTCGAGCTGGTCTAGTCCCTGGCCCGCCTTCTCGTGGAGCCGGCTGAGGAGCGTGAAGGCGGCCGGGTCGGGCTTTTTGCTGGACTCGATGACAAAGGTGTCGGCAAGGGGCGTTTCGCGGGGCTTGGCGAAGAAGTACAGGAATCGAGAGAGGAGCTTGTGCAGCGCGGGACTATAGTGTTGAAGAAGGCGATCTGTGTTATCGTCAGTCTACCTGGGGTACATTCAGCAGGCATGTTGACCTGTGTACTCACTTTGCAGGCTGTCATCAGCGGCAACCTGGTGCATCATTTCCTCGTCCGCATCGTCCTCCAGGCAGTTACTGCCGTACGGATGGAACAGGTGGTGTGTAACGCAATCACAGGCATAGGAGTGAAGACTCATCTGCAAACGCAGTCAGGCAACCGTCTAGAAAGTTGGAACAGGGTCTACGTACAAATATGTCGTGGCTCATGCCGACGGACTTCTCGCACAAGTTGATAAACTTTTGCGACCTCTCCTGGATTCCGCCTAGGGGTACAGGTCGCAGGACGTTGCTGTTTGCATAGCGGTCCGCAATGATTCTCTTGCGCTTCGCGTGCTAGAACATGTTGTAAGTTGCTATTCTACCCCAGACTAGAGTCTCATCGGGGGGAGGGGGGGGGGGCTTTACATCTTCCTTATTCAACGTTGTGAACATAGTCCTAGTACTGTCAGTTTCTGCTGTCCCTGTCCAACATAAGCTCATTTCCCTTTCATACCTTCGTCCATAGACTTTGAACAAGTCATAAAACTCCGTCTTGTCATAGCCGCTGCCTCCCGAACAGTAAATCTCCTTGACGGCTTCGTAGGATGTAAACGAGACCTCGTTTGGTGCGATTCGGACAACTGGGCCATATTGCCGGTGGAGTGCATGGATGTACTTCGTCCTGGTTGCTTGTAGCTCATGCCATTTCAGAAGAAGGGAGGTGAAGGCAGATGTCCTCGGACCAGGTACTTTCCACAACGGGGATAGGAAGCAGCGGATGAGATACGCCAAAGCGAGGACAGAAAATGCTGCTCCCAAGAAGACGGGAGAAAGAAGTAACATATTGTAGGCCTGTCACCATTACACCATTACACGTATAGTTGCTCCGAGAAAATGACAGGACGAGGTAAACATTGGGGCGAAGGTCTCTCGAATCATGAGCGACGCCGGTTCCTCTTATCAGCTCCGTTCCGGGCCCCGATAGCGTTGGTCAATCAGAGGGTTTCGATTCGTAAATGACCACCTGGGCAGTCGAGCGCCAGGGTGCTTTAGCCCGAGAACGGGGCGGTCTGGCAAGCATAACCCCCTGAGGGACTCCAAATGAGACGTGAGGGGCAGGTCGTCAACACCGATTACCCCTCCATAACTCGACAGCCGGTGATGAAAGGCTCGATATGGATGCGTCGGGAAAGACTTCAAATTCTCGTGAAGCAGGAACTTGATACGGTATCAGATATTTGATTCCAACTCATGTTTTTCTACGCCATCACTGCCGCCGCCCAACATCATCTCGTGAGATGCACCACCCTCAACGCCTCGCCAATTGTCACCTCGTACTAATACACCCGGCTCAAACCCGCCCACCAACCAAACCTCGAATCAAGACTCCAAAAAAGTGCAGGTTACCACCCTATCTCTCACAGTTCTCCCTTAGTGCCCTGCTTCGACTTGTCATTCGAATTGCCCCCGAACAAGCCGGTCAACCAAGACATACCGGGAATCGACACAGTGCCTGCCGGGGGATACTCCTTGCCGTTGACGGTGACCTTGGGCGTGCATGTGCACCACTGGTCCTCGGGGACGCTACTCAGCGCCGACGGGATGTGTTGGCCGCAGCCGCGCCAGGTTGCCTTTGCTATTGGATACACTTAATTTTCATGATTCTAGAAGGCATGTTGCGAGATTGGGGTTGTCGTCTTACAGCAAGTCGAGCAGGTGACTCCGAAGCACATTGTGTATAAAAGTAAAGGTGTTGGTGAAAGGGAGATGTCGGTGCGGGTATCAAGTTCAAAGAGTCGACAGTATGTTGTGTACGGGTTGATCCGAACGAAGCTTGAAGTCAAGATGGTGTTTGAAGATAGTCTTTTCGGACGTTGACCAACGCGATAAGGGCTGGTCTTGCTACGAGCTTACCTGGGATTAAGTATTCGCGGTGTCCGTGATAGCATAATCCACCCAGTTGGGGTCGGCGACCTGCATTGAGCATTGTCACGGGCGCAGTGACCCCGATGAAGTGGGCCTCGGAGGGGTATCGCCGACCTCGCTCCCTATTCCGGGGAAGTGGGGTGCTGTCAGTGGAACTCGGGCTTGCTCACATAAGGCACTTTGGAAGCTTCTGACCGAGCTGAGACCGGTATTGCTTTAGTCATCTCGTGTAACACGTTCGATTCCGTCTCGGGAATGTTGCTCGTTAAATGTTTTTGGCCATGAGTGAAGGACAAATATCCCCTCTCAACTAAGGAAAGGTATGCTGAGGCTCATGCGGTCCGTCCCGAGTCTAATTTCATACTTGCTGGATGAACTGAGCCACACGTTCTGCAAGCCACTGCTGGGACTCCGGGTTCTTCACAGTGTGGCTTGCTCCGGGAATCAAGCCAGACAGCTCCTTGACATTGGAGTTTGTCTTCTTCCACAGGTCTATCAAAGCTTGCTTGTCGATTTTGGCTGGCACGAACTCATCCTCTGCAGAGTGTAGCACCATGACGGGCTGCTGGAAACGATTCCAGACCTCGGAGACGAACGACTCTTCGAGGTCGGATGAGAAGTAATCATCGTCGCCTCTGTGAATAAGATCAGTATTCCATTCACCTGATCCCGGGGATCGAGTATCATAGCCACTTACCCCTTAGCCGCCAGAGAGTGCCAACGGTAGGCCGTCATGGGTGTCGAGAAGAAGCTTGGCACTAAATCCTTGGGTATCGCTTCGGCCTCCTTTCCAGCGGAAATCAGCTTCTCTGCGTGCTCGAGGCTCTTCTTCAACCAGTCGGGTTTGACAAAGTCCTCAATAGACTCCCGGTCAGATGCAGGACCTTGCATGATGAAGCCATCGACAGGGTCCTCCTTGTGCTTGGTATACTCCATACAGTCCTACCAAGGTTAGTTGGGTCCTGTAAATGTTCAAGGCTGCTACAACGGCATACCTGGCATCCGGTTGAGTGGCCCATAAGGACAATCTTTTTCTTTCCGATACCTCGGAGATACCTCACCAGAGCCGAGATATCCTCAACATCGTTCTTCAAGCTCGAAAAGCCGTAGCCAGAAAAGGAGCTCCTCATCCGAATCTCAAATACAGACCAGTCTTGTGCCGCTGTCTCAAGATGCTTGGCTATAGCCTTGGTGTAGCCAACAGTATGAGGTCCATCTGCGAGACCTCCTATGAAGAGAAGGGCGTTTGATGCGCCAGTTGGGCCGATCTCATAAGCGCTAGAGTGAGAGGTTCGGGAATCGAAAGGATGCACCGTGCAAGAGAAAGGAGCCGGGGCCATGGTGAGTTACTGACCCTTCCGGACAAAGATAGGCTGTTCGTCAAGATCTGGTCGTAGTTTCTAGCGGAAAGCTCCTTTCGTGACTGCTTAGCAGAGATTCAGGGAGTCTTGCGATGTAGTTGCTTCCTCACAAGAATTAATGAAATTGGCGTAACCTAGTGGAGGGGAAGCGCTCTGGTGGGGGCTGCTCTGATGTGCTGTTGCGGGGCTGCCAGCTTCCCTTTTAGCGAGCCAGAATCACCAAAGGCCCTGAACAGTCGGCCGTCAGTGGGGCTCATCGCCGAGGGACGTCGAAAGGAAGCCACCCGATTGGGCCTACTTTAGGAAGGTATGTACTCCGTACCGCCAATCTTTCGCAGGATGGTCATCTCAGCCAGGCGTTTCCTCAGTCAAAGTTGGGTTGCGAAAGTGAACGACAGAGCTTCCATCTTCAACTACCAGTAAACACGCGAATCCTCGCCACTTTCTCTTTAATATCACGCCAGTCATATCCTCGAAAGCCGCGACCATAGGCTTTCCTAGATCAGATACGTCTCCACCGCTAATTTACGCGCCGCTGGAGGCTGGCGTGAAATACTTGCCCTCTGCCTCGTAATGGCGACCACTCCCGCCAATGCAACCCCAGCTCGGAATGAGTTTTTCCAGCAGGTCCGTATACCTTGGGACGTATAGATCATATGCTGACCAATTCAACCAGCTCAAACCATGCTGTGTTTCAATCAGTCAGCTAGCAATCCGACAACAAGGAGATTCGTCTTCCTTCAAACGACTCTCTGAGTTGACTGACGAGTTGTACCACATTCTCAACGACCAAGTCAATAGAGATGCCACCGTTCTGGATTCAAGGCTTGCTGACTACGTCTTTTTCCCGCTCTCTCATATCTTCCGCAGTCACGATCAGTACCCCAAGCGCCTAATCGAGCTCGCCATCAAGTGCCTTACCGTTATCATTATTCACGGCTGGAAGTCCAACATTTCGCCCCAGATCTTGCAACAGCTCCTGATACTTCTCACTTTCATCGTTGGAGGAGTACCTGGCCGAGAGAGAGAGCATGATGTGCCCGAGGAAACCGAGCTTGAATCGCTTAGAGCGTTGACTGCCTTGATCACTGTGGCTGGAACGTCCAGCACAGCAGCAACAGCTCTGACCGAGGAGAAATTGGTGCCAACTCTGGGCCATACCATTACGGTACTTCTGGGATGCGTAGCGGATGGAAGAACGTCAGCTATTCAGCTCGAAGCTCTGCGTATCCTGAACTGCTTCTACACGAGCATCAAGGACCATGCCGCACTTGCGTCGTTCCTTCCTGGCCTCGTCTCGGGCCTGACAAAACTTCTTTCCAAGCCCCAGAGAGAGAAGACGCGCGTCTTGGTCGGTTCCATACAGTCGTTGGGACTGGTGCTAGTAAGAGTTCTTGGCGATGTCAGGACCCGGAGCATCACCGCAAGACTGAACTCAGATACTCCACCGGAGGCCGAACAAGGGGGTGTACTGAGCCCATCATGGCTTAACGCGACACAATCACAGATCAAGCTGGCTCTGGCAACAGTCTTGAAACTACGAACAAGCGATACTACAGACGTACGCGAGGCGCTGCTAGCATTCTGTCTTGGACTTCTCGACGAATGTCACGCCTCCCTGGAAAATTGCTCCTCCGTATTGGTGGAGACAGCCATGGTCATCTCACCAACACATCCAACGACGTCTTTGACCGGTACAAGTCTGCAAGATTTGGCCATCATATATCCTGAACTTGGCGAGACCATGAAGGTCACTTGTTACAATTGGATCATCAGCTTGCCCAGGATCATGCAGTCTGCCAGCGAAAGCAAGAAACAGGCCGCCGTCCAAAATTTGATGAAGGGCATGGCTCTTGTCAGTAGCCTTCAGTTGGATTCTTCACTATTGGACGAGTCAATAGCGGCGGCTCTAAGGGACAGTGTCACGTCTCTCATAACCGGAGCGAAGCCTAGCAAGATCCTGGATGAAACAACGCCGGACGCCTCATGGTACAACCAAGATATCGTGAGAATGGGAGATTTTTCAAAACGATATTCAAATGTGCTGTTGGGTGAGGAGAGTCAGGTCGAAACAAGGTCAGCTATGATTGACTTGCTCTCCAACGTTGGAACCGCCTCGCAGCAGACCAGGCTTGCTGCCGAAATGCTGGATCACGCCAGGGACTCGTCAGGCGATTCTCAGATAGCCTCTTTCTGGCTGAGCTTTGAACTCCTCAAGACCGCCTTTTCTCGTTCCAACGAGCTCGATGATCTTTTAGACTTCTCTTCACTGGGCTCTGGGGGCGAGGGTTCTGAATCCATCTTCCAGGAATTGTATGCATTCGCCGTTGTTTTGCTCGACTCACACTCTGAACTGGCTGAGATCGACTGGAGGCTAGAGGCCACGGCACTTGAAGTAACCGCCTTCGCAGCATCTCGATCAGGCGAAGCCTTCAGACCAGAACTCATTGACGTGCTATATCCTATAACAGCCTTCCTTGGCTCTGCGAGCTCACAACTGAGGGAGCATGCAATCACGACCCTGAACGTTCTTGCTGTATCGTGTGGGTACACGAG